AAAGAAGACACGAATTTCGACAAATAATTAAAAATAAAAGATGTGCCTTAGTTTCAAATATCATTTTATTGTGTCTGGTGTGTTAATTAACTTGATTAAAAGATAATTTCTTTAAAAACGAGAAAACAAATCAATTTAGTTAGCTGAACTGTATTCTTTAAAAAATATATATTAAATTTTGTGTGAGTACTAATAAACTTTTTGGTCACATACGGAAGTTTGCTGTATAAGAAGTTCTAACAAGAATGGAACACACAATGTGTGTTCCATTCTTGTTAGAACATATGTGTTTGATTTTTATTTGCCTGATGACGACAAAAATAGATTTGTTGAAAGCACTAGCAATAAAAACTTAATAATGCGATCCTTCACACAATAATACAGTTTAGTGAAATTGTTTTCTTTTTATTTTCCCTACTGTTATATATAACAGAGGGAAAGTATGGCAATTGGTCAAAAAAATGACCCCAAGATTTTTACATTTTTGGACTTGGGACACTGAAATATTGAGAAATGCAAAAAATTCAGAGAGTTTTCTCCGTATGTATGGATGTTTTCTCCGTATGTATGGATGTGTGTGCGATACAATTTTGTTCACCTTTGAAGCTTAATAACTCCTGTACTTTTTGCATGGAGGTTTGTTTATTAGGGGATCAATGCTATTAAAGGTTGAGGAGGTGGAGCAATTAAGGGAATTGTATGTCTCTAGTAGGGTTAAATTTAATGATAATTTTACTTGTTATTAGCATTTACAATTTTTTATAAAACCCACCCATCCCTCAAAATTAAGATTTTTGTTGTTTTATAATAGTTAAAAATAAAGTTTTTAAGTAAAATATTATAACAGATGTTGCCGGGAAAGTTAAGCAACTTGTTACTGGAATTTTTAAACTCATTCAACATCTCGTGTATGAATGCCAATATATTGACCTCTTTGTGAAAAGAGGTCTATGACCCATAACACCACTCTTAAAAAAAAATGTACTACTTTCTGTAATTTGGATCATTGGTAACAGTCAAGAAATATTTATACTCACCTTACATTTTCTCTATTGGATCCAAAACATTTTAAATTCTTTTCATGCTGGATCATTGATATTTGTAAATTCTCATGCTTGATAATTATACCACGAAAATTTGTCTTGGAAGTTTGTCTTCAATGAGATTGTTGTCTCTTGCTTCTTTCCTTTTTTAAACTGGATTGACTATTTCCTGCTTCTTCCAATTGTTATTACCTTTGGTCTCAGTTTTCTAAATGGGCATCTTGAACAATTCACTCCTTTTAGATAATTCTGAGATTATAAAATTTTGCAAATTGATATCCAGTTTCTGGTCAACAGGTCTGATGTCTTTCAAATGCAGGAAGATAGCAGAAGAGAACCCATCATGAACAGTTCTGTTGGTCACTTCATTTTTTTCTCTTGCTTTCATTCAAATAATTATTATATCACTATTAATATTCATATGTAATTATTTGTAATTAATATGGTGTGATCAACAATGCAATATTTTCTTACTATCAAATGTGTAAAAAGTGTAAATAATCTGCCATGTGTTTAAGCTATTTAACACACAACTAACATTCTGGTCTTTAAACTGATGATCACTGGTGAGTAAAGTTAGTGGATTTAATATTAACCCAAAAACACAGTTTTAAAAAATTGTATAAACCAATAAACAAGTCCATGCAAAGAACAGGCCCAAAACATCAAGATAATTAAACTTTATTTTCTTACTAAAAAGATGAACAAAAATAAACAAAAAACTCCATCACAAATATTTATTCCCTAATTTAAAATTATCAATTTTATGTTACATCCAATATTGTTTCAAAAATCTAAATTTACATGCTATTTATAACAGAAATGCAAATAAATAGAAGACATGTTTGCTGTGACATCGGATATGCATTTCCGATAAAAAAAATTCAGTTCCGAGCAATTGTAGACGTGAATGTTTAGAGTATAGCGTCTCCGTCACAACCGCCACAAGATACTTTGTACAATATATATAACACCGAGTGCCGGCAGATACTCCTAGTCATGTTGTTGCAAATGACACGACAAAACTTTACATTTCAATCTAGATGTATCTGAATGAAATATAAGAGTTGCCTGCGAGGCCAAATTTTGATTTTGCAAATTAACGGTATAATTTTTTAATTCTATACCAACTGATGTAATATGAGTTGGGAGAAAATTAAAATTTACACTTAAGTATTTTTATTAAAAAAAAGTAGTATATTATGTAAGTAGCATTTAATATTTTCTATTTTAAATGTAATAAAAACATACAGCTTCAAAAGACATTGCTGAAGAAACTGGAGAAAAAGATAAATATTAAAATGTAACACTTTTTATTGAAAGTCCTGTAATGGAAACTCAATCCTCACCTGGCAAAATCTAGTTGTGAGAATATCAATGGAGATCGTCAAAATATAGATGAAGTCTTTCTTTTTAAGTTCCTCCATATGGCTTAAGATAAAACAGTAATCTAAGAAACAATGAATCAAATTTACCAAAAGCTATATCAACTATACAACATACTGCTTTCAAGTACAGTAGAATATACATTAAAAATTCACAAGTTTTGTGAATATAATTAAATTTTGTACAAAGACGACAATTATGACAAAGACAACAACAAATCAAAACAATATTAAAAACCAAATATTGCCTAGCAAATTTTCTTCACAGAATCTAATATTTAAAGAGCCAGATAACAGAATATTAAAATAATAAGGGAGGAAAAGAAGTTAAAGTTATGATCAATATAGACTTAGTGGCTTTTCAATTTAATCTGTCAAATTAAAATTTTAATTGTTTGTTTATATAACATTTGATGATAAGTCTTATATTCTTCTAATATAGATTTTCACACTGATTTTTAATGTGTAAAATACAAGATATCAAATGCTTGCCACAAATAAAGATAACTATTGTTGACATTCAGTTATCTATTTACGAAATACTGTACTAAACAAAACTTATGCTCTATAACCTGGCAAGTTGACCAAGATGATTTAAGGCATTGACATACATCACTTGGGACTGGGGGTCCAAATCAGGACAGCTAAAAAAAAAATGCCAGGAATTTTTCATGGATAGTCCATCTGAAATATAGTAGAATCTCGTTTTAATAGATTGCAGAACAATGGATTTTTTTCCCAGGTTCCACCAAATCAATGTAATTTTACCTTCTTTTAGCAGATCTATAACTCAGAATAATGGACTTTATAGCCCTGTCTATTGTAAACTTCATGTTTTTTCAACGTTTAGTTAATAGTTGGGTTTACAGGAATTTATAGAATTTGAAGATGAACTTGTTATATTTGGGATATGTACAGTGCAATTGAAGACTTGTACAAAGTCAGCAGGCTGATATGATTGAAGAGGAGCCACCTAGTGAATATTATGACACAGGTCCAAAATGTAGTGCCAAAATATAGCAAGGACATTTAGTCTTTCCAAGTCTTAAAGACCTTCCTGAGGAATTTCATCATAAATGAATAGGCTATATGTACATGACATTGCTAATATCAAGCAGAAGTGCTTGATATTAGCAATGTCATTGTACTGTATTTTATTCAATAGGCAGAAAAGCAGCATCAAAACAAAATGAATTAGATAAGTTTTTTTAAGAAATTGTGAAGTCAAGTAAAATACTAATGAGCATATGTAATTGTCTCTTTTTGCGCTTATAGTATATATAGTTTCTGTCAGCTTTATTGTACACACGTTACAAGATTATATATTATGCCTTGTGTGTTTCTATAGAGTAAAGAATAGAGATGTCAAGCGACTAAATAATTTCAAGTACTATTATTTCTTATACGTAGGAAGTTAAATGATGGATATTTTCTTGAATGTGCAGGAAATCCGTTGTTATCAATATAATGGATTATCAGAATAATGGATGGTTTTCAGTGGCCATGAGTGATCCTTTAAAATGAGATTCTACTGTATGTTGTGTTCTGTCCCACTTTTGTTGCAGGCTCAGGAAAAAAAGGTCCTCTTAGTGCCCAACAGGGCAGAAGAGTTAAAATAAATAAATAAATAAAAACTTGGCAAGTTTCATTTGATATTGTCATAGTAAGTAGTTTACAGTTTGTCTTTTCACACTTATATTTTGATTTTATGTAGATATAACAGATCTTTTTGTTGGATTATATCAAATATAATACTTTTATGAGATTAAAACTATAAAATTTGAAGAAAATCAGCTAGGCATACATCAACATTGGTACATCTAGACATTCTAATGCATAATAGTTTAAATATGCTATGTACAGAATAATTTTCAATATAGTCTCAACAAGAACCGGTCAGCAAAACCAAACACTTCTACAAAAATCTTTTGGTTTGATTTGTGCCATCAGCAACTTATTCGAAAAACAACCGGTTGTAAAGAGATTGCAATTTTAAAACAAAGCTGCCTTTCCAATCATCGTCCATTCCCCATGTATTTGATTTGTTCTAATGTCACAGTTTTTACAATATGCAAATTTTGATATAAAAATTTGCACAGTTGTACATTCACTTTCTATTTTGTACATTGCAACATCCTAATTTGAGCTCAGTTCTAATCTATCATCCTATCAATTAAGGTGTTAAGTAGAAAAGAGAGAAAGTGACTTGTCAAAAGTCAAACAATCCAAACACTACCTTAAATAAAAAGTAATGAAAAAAAAAAAAAATGAAGAAATGTTCATTTTTCTGAAGTTTTAAAATGCATTTTTTCCCCTCAAAAGTTGTTTGTTCATTAAAAGTTACCTATGAAGTATAGAAACTACAGCCATTGTGAATTGGAATATACTCTATAAAATGTTATATTTGCTTTCGTTTAAAAACTATATATTATATATNGAAATTAATAAGGGTCAATACTTCCCAGGTGTTTTTGCATTGTAGTATTAATAATTGTCAAATTGATGTTAAATATACTAGCTGCAAGATCCCGCTCCGCTGGGTTTTTATTTGTATGTAATAGTATAGTCTTATATATAATATATATATATATATAAAATATATATACTTATTTACACATACATTTATATAAAAGATGGGGTTTCATATAAATTGATTTTGGAAAATGTCAAAGTGTTTGTATAAACCTGCCTCATATTTATCAAAATGATATCTTTTTGATAAGAGTGGTACTAAAAAATTATTGCTCCCATTTATCTAAAAAAAATTTTGTTTCATTTAAGTATAAGCCATGTATTGTACCAAATAACCTTTCCCACCGATATCGGAAGTAGCCAAAACCCAAAAGAGATGTCTAATTAAATATTCCTACTGTATTAAAATTCTAACACATGTCTTCGGTAACTTGATTATAAATGTTATACAATGGGTGCTTTTGTATGATATATTATGATTATCGAGAATGCTTTTCAGACGTTCTTGTATGGTTCTCTGAAAGCACAAGAAAAAGATTAAATTAATGTTACTTAAATTGATAAAGTGAGATTCGAGAAAATGGATCTTACGTTCGTTCTTGATTAAAAGTCCCGACTGTTATCAGACTTTCTTGACAGGGCATTCTCCGCGTGGAAGGCACTACAGTGCACTGTTCTTGCTGCTGTCTTCCCAAGAGGACCGCCTCCTCGTAGCTGGGGGGAGGAACTTCGGAATCTGCACCGTCCACCACCTGGCTGGGGACACCGAGCAGCCTGGCATGCTGTGCCACTCCACAGTCACCAACGACGGTGTCATAAGCTGGCGGAAGAGTCATGTTGCTGGGATTTCTGGAAAACCAAGACTTTATTTAACAGTAGTGAAAATAACTGGTTGTGAAAATAATTTATGGTGCCAATAAATAAGATTGAGAAAAAGAGAGGTGCATAATAGCATAATATTGGGATGACAAGATGTTTGTCATGCATCTGAATCTCACTTGCAATTTTTCCACTAAATGATTCTAAATTAATTAGTTAAATTAATTTCAATCACTAAAATAGTTATATGATAGTGGACTACCTATTTCTAGATCAAATTGTATACTACGTTAAATTATAGCTTAAAAAATAATAATAATAAAAAGCTGGAATAGCTTATATTTCAGGATTTTTATGCAAAATGTTAATCTATCAAAAATAAGTGCCTCTTCCAACTATTCTCAGCAAGTTTTATAACTTACACATACTTACTTAAAGCTGGATTACCCCACAGAAACATAATCTAGAAAATTTTACACATCAATAGAATTTTCTTATCTTTCATTTTGCCATGAAAACCAACACAGTGGCAGTATCTTAATCACTTTAAGGCATCATTTTAATTTTAAACAAGACACTAAACACATTTGTTACATTAACTGGATTTTCCTGTATTACCTCCTCAAACCATTATTGATTTAATATATGTTTTTTTTATTCTACTACCAGTAATTTGATATTGATCAATATCAAAATGTTGATACTTCCTCATACAAATGGTTCTCTCTCACCATTTAAAAATATTAAGAAATATCACTAGAAAGCAATGGACCGAGTGGAAATCCATGCAACCCCTACATTCATCATATTTTATAAAAACAATACAACAAAGAATGCAACATATCTTTTCAAAACTATTTTAATAATATCATAAGCACTTTAGCTTCTGACTCTGTATGTTTTGGGAATTCATCCCAAAATTTTCTGAAAGAACTCAAAATAAATCAACTTCCTTTGTTGATGAAATGATTTTTGATACCTATAAATCTATTAATGCATAATTTTTCCAAATTACACTATTTAGGCAGATTATTTTTCACTTATGCCTCACAACTATACTTATCAATACAGTTTTTCTTTTTCAGAAGCAAAGGATGTCATAGATAAGTTGAAGCCCTCCAATTTCAGTCGACACTCCATTCCCTCAATTTTCTATATAAAACTAAAACCAATTATTGCCATAACTTTTTCTGAAGTACTTCAATATAGCCTGGTACCATAACAATGGTATTCCTCTACCATTATACCAATACAAAAAAAAAAAATCTTTTGACCCATTTCTTTATCTGTCACAATGCTTAAAATTTTCGAAACATGTCTCTTCAATAAAATGTGTGTTCCAATAACATCAAAACTCTTAACTATTCAACTTTGAGGAATGCATACTCAATTAACTACTACTAATTTACTTGGTCTATGTTTATAATCCTGAACAATTCAAAAAAAAAAAAAAAAAAAAAGCATTCAACCGAAGTCAAGCCTTTGACACCATACTTCCAAATATACTTTTAGACACGCTCCGAGACTATTTTGATATTAACCCAGCTCTTCACTCCTGGCTGAACAGCTATTTTCCAGCCCGATTATACAAGATCAAAGTAAAGGATCTTACTTTTCTTGATTTTCTGCCTTTAACTGGTATTCAACAAAGATTGGTTCTAAGTGGACTTTTCTTTTCTGAATAAATCAATGAATTATTTATTAATTTAAGTTCTTCTGTTATCATCTATGCAGACTATATAAAGCTGAATTAAAGAGCATGATCCCACTGCTCTCCAATTTGATCTACACCTCTCATCTTCTGCCTTTAGTAAAGTTAACCTTAGAATTAATGTACAAGAATCTGTAATAATGTGTTTTTCTTTATTCAAGAATCCATCCCTACCACCCCTTTTTATAAATACTTTTGTACTGCAATATGTCAACTCACAAAAATAATTCCAAGATTGTTGTGACACTAAATTAACTTTTAAAAGCTATATAGACAAGACAGTAAAATCATTGGCTATCCATTGCGGGATATTATAGAGTTTGTAAAACCATATCCTATAAATCTGTTTTATGATCCCTATGTTTTTGCCAAATTTCAAACCCTCGTGGACTACTGCATTCCCATTTGGCCCATGGGTGCCCCCTCTTTACTTGCTAAAATATTAAGAGAACACGATAAACTTTATCTACTTTTAAATAAGTGTAGTAACCTACTGCAAACCAATAACCCAAATGTTGCTAGAGTAAGACTAGAACTTCCAAATCTTTTCAAGATAATTAAACATTTTGATCAAATTCTCTTTTTAAATATTTTAATGGAATAATTCCACAACAAAAGCAAAATCTAAGAATCCCCAGAAAAAACACTCATAATACTATATGTATTCACACTCATTTTTGTTTATCATTGACACACACATTTTTTTTTTTTTTATTGAATAGCTGATATGGTCTGGATGGAATGTCTACTTCATGAAAAATTTGCTCATTGTAAGTGGGCACTTCAACACTTTTTACATAACTCTTAAATCTTTTTTTTTACTTTTTACTACTTTTTACTTCTTAATTATTATTATTTTTTATTCCCGCTTTTTTGCTTTTTTACAATTACACATTTCATTTAGCATATTGTCAAATATATGTTTTTTAATACATGACTTTTATGTTTCTTAATGAATTTATATTATATACAAAACAACAAAAAGATATTTTTCTGTCATTTATATTTTTTTATGTATCAAGTTATAGATTTGTATGTTTTTGTATTTTTTTAAACTTTGGGCTTGTTATGTATGGGGGTGGAAATAAACTGTCTGATAGTATTTCCAAAAGTTATTGTAAAATAAATAAAACATGTCTGTTTGAGTATATAATAAATGAAATACAGTAGAGAATCGATTATCCAACTCAATTGGGGGCTGGGGTTGGTCGGATAACCGAAAAATATGAAAAAATACATTATTAGTATAGTATATTAGTATATCTCATGTAATTAGTATATCGCTATTAACCTACTTTGCGTTGAATTTTCATCGATGTTAAGCCTAACAAAAATTTTTTAAAATAATAATTCTATTGTATCGTTAAAAATTTAGAAAATTAAACCTTGTTTAAATACTGGCTCCCTTTCATGGTCGAGCCATGTTACCAGCTAAAACATGTAAAAATACTATTAAAGCAGCCAAGACATAGCCAAATATTGTAGTGCCACATCACTAGCGGACATTTGATTTGCCGACTAGAACGACGCTCTACTGTAAATTCATAAGTTTTATATTACAGTACTTTATTTATGATAACAAATTTAGAAAGTTCCAAAGTTATTATCCAAAGCTTTTTGTACATAATTGGAGCATTTCATTAAAAATCATAGAATATCATATCTCAAATTACATACTCTACATTAAAAATTCAATGAAAAAGCTTAGATTATCTTGAAATATCATTGTAATTATTTCAGATCCGACTTTCTGTAACATTTATTTTGATATCAAAATAGTTGTTAATGGAAATGCAATTTAAATTAAGCATCCATACCTTGAACAAGGATCTGCAGTTTTTTTATGATCTGTTTGAGGGTTGAGTTATTTGATTGTATTTAAGTTACTAAATTATGAATTTTTAAGTTGTCAAATGGAAGCAAACCTACTCCAATATTTGTCATAAATTTTTTCATAAATGATTATTGTTTATTAATAATGTTTGGCAATGCATTGTAATTTTTGTAATGCACAATTAGAAAATGAAAGCAAGTTTAATATAAATCTGGATATATAACAAAGTATTCAATTTTTGGTCTGACAGAGGTCTTAACCCTTTACTTGCTAGCATGAGAATTGAACCCATTTCTATCTGATCTACTCATTTGTGTCCCCTCCAGGCTAATTTGCCAAGGAGTCTTTGTAATCTTCCATTATCTGATCTATGGTACTTCCTTTCCCTGAAAAGTATGGCTTATTTAAAGTATCGTTTACAGGAAACTTTATAAAATCATAAGACTTTTCACCCAAATCTCATCAAAATGGAAATTTAGCCTATTAACAGATGAGACAGAAGGATGAACATTCTGTAAATGTAAAGAGAGTTGGGATGCATGTTATAATCTTACAGAAATTAAGTGCGAGATTCTGAAAGCGGATATACTTTCAAAGATAATGCCATGCTTTTGAAAACTACAGTAAAAATCTTTTACTTCTGTTTCTTTATCTTCAATGATTAATATTAGAGTTATCTCTATAACTAATCTTTAGCACTTGTTAAGAATATAAACATGCAATTTGAAAGTAATTTTAAAAATGGTATATTGTTTAGAATTATGTAAGTTTCTAGAAATTTTGGCAAAGAAATTAACTGTAAGAACATGTGATCGTACTAATTTAATAGCTATTTGGCATTTTATGATACATTATATATCTGCTGAATTATCTCAGATAAAGTTTGTAAACTTTAACAGTTAAAAATGAATTTTATACACAAGTACTAAAGCATGTCAGAATAATAAACTCCAGATTTATTCTTTTTTAAAAACACAGAATGTTGATTGAAGACACTAGACTATTCAATACACTTTTATTCAATTCCTTACTCTGGTCAATGCATCAGTCAAAACACATTCCAGACTTGAAAGCAGTGATTTGAAGAGAGGCTTTCAAACCCAGAGCATGTTTTGACTGATGCATCGACCAGAGTAAGGAATTGAATAGTCTAGTGTCTTCAATCAGCACTTTATTGTGTCTTTAAGAAGTATAAAAAGAACATAGATACAGTTTCAAATATTTACAGTAAATTCTGATTTATTACTTTTGTCTGTTTCAGCTACAAATTTAAATATCTAACATATTACCTATCAACAGCCTCAGAAGACAATTACATTTCTTTTGTATGAGTGTAATATCACAAATTACAAAACCAAGAATAACACACTTCTGTTTAAAACTTTTTAAATAATCACATCTGCCAATGTTAGATTTTTTAAAATATTTAAACAGATTAAATATTTACAGAATTTTATTACTACTTTCACTTTAGCACTTTCACTTTACGCAAGAAAAATAAATAAAAAAATGCGTTAAACATCTATTCTTGGAATAATTTTCTGAACGCAATAAATATAATTCAGTTTTGTCAAACTTTAGCTCAATTCAACAAAATTCAGGTTTAAAATATTTACAAAAAAAATTAATGTTAATGTAGCAACTTATTTTTGTCAAAAAATTGTTTCAAAGAACAACATTTATGCATATAGATTGTGTTCTTTAAAAGTTTGTTCTATATTTACAGTCATCAACACACAAACAGTTACACTTATTAGATTTAATTCTAAAGTAAGGAACCATGTTTTATATCATTACTTAACTTTTAGTATTACGTAGCATGAATAAACAAAAACAAGGATTATCAAGCCTTAAGAAAAATGCATTAGAAAATAACAGAGCACACATTTTGTTGCAAAATTTTGTTAAATTTCATTAACAAAAAATATAATCTGCTGTAAAAATTAGAGAATAATTAAAATATACAACAAGAAATTATAGATAATCAAAATAGATATAGAGAATGAAAATTTGTCTACTAACTTCTTTTTTTGTCAAGTAATAAGCTTTTATAAATTTATCTGCACAAAACATGCCTAGGCACCAAGATTTCATCACTAAAATGTGTTTTAACTTGTATGGTTATTTTAAGTTTTTTTAATTTAAGTGACATTTCTTGACTGGTAGGATTTATATATATAAAAATAGCATAATATTTAATGATAGACATATTTTGAACACAGATTTTTGCAAAAGATTTGTTTCTCTTTTGGCATACTAATATGGCTTAAATGTGTTTAAAAAAAGACATAAAATGGAAGCTGTGAAAGTGTCTCTTCCTTTGTATTTTCTAAAATATTGATATAAATACATATTGTGTGATTATTTTCATAAACAAGTTGTTATATCTTTGTTTCATGTCAATGTAACTATTTTAGAATTGAAATAAATAAACTGTTTATTTTTGTCATTTCCAGTATTTGTTTATAATTTTAATGAAAACACAGCTTTCCTATCATCAAATGTCACTGCACACCATTGAAACTAGCATAATGCAGCATTTGTGAGAAATCCACCACTGAGATCTATAAATAAATACACATTGAAACAACTGTGTGATGTTTAGAATCAAGTCAAGCATAAACCAAATCTTACAGAAAGAAAATAATTTGAGTAATTACTTAAAAAATAATTCTGTGTAACCTTTGCTTAACAGTTTATTTTTTATTTCGTAATTGTAATTTATTATTGAATTTCTGGCAGTTAAATTAAAATTTACAAGAAACAAAAAATAATTTTGTCCAAGAAACAAATAATTTTTTTAATATTGTAACTTAGAGAGTTGGCACTTTGTTAATTAAAAATTAATGCAGCTTACTTTGAAATTATATTTTATAAAAAAATGATAAATTTTCATTTTATCAAAGTTAGTGAAAAAAAGTGGGGTAAAGTAATAGGATAGAGAGTAATAATTCTCTAACTTCATTAGAATCAAAGTTTCATTAATATTATCATTGACAGTTTTTCAATCTAAGATGAAATGTTTATCTTCATCCACTTGTAATCAAACAGATATCCCAATTATACAACAAATCAAAGTAGCAAGTGTAAAAATTGTAGTAACTGTATGCAAATTAATGTGTATACAGTAATACCCCGAACTTATGTGATAGGTGGCACTGAGCGATAACCGCGTAAGTCGGAGTATAATTTCGCAATTTGGGTACAATCCAAGTCAGATGTATGTAAGCTAATAAATATTCCCATTAATCTTATCTTGTCTTTTGATTCGTTCACAGTTATAAGAAATCACCACATAGAGTCTCTCTCAAGTCTCTGTAGATATAACAAACACAGAAATAAATAACACAAAATAAATTGTAGCTATGTGTTGATTCTGAGCTACACATCCGAACATGTAAGCTGAACAATAGTGTGGGGGGAGTGAGTAATCAAAAGTTGTATGGCGCTCAAACAAAAGATGAATCGACAAGATTTGAAAATCATGTAAGTCGAGGTATTACTGTATTAAAATTGTAATCCATTTTTTATTTACTTTCAATTTTTGTTTATATTACAACAACTAGTCAACAATGCAAGCTGAATGCAGTGCAGAATTTATTGCATATCATCTATGCAAGCATGTGGTAAAACAACTGACAATATTCTACAAATTTCATGTTTAATTGAGAAAAGTATTTGTGATTCTAAATTGACATTTATATGACAACGATGAAACCAATGTTACCATAGACTAAACAATAAAAACAAGATATGATCTATTAATATTGTTCTGATTGGATTGTGTTTGCAACCCCCAGCATTAACTTCCTATCTTACAAAATCAATTTTACTGTTTATAAAGAAAATTCAACAACTGTAATTGTAAACAATTATGTGCATGTATTTTTCCTCAATAACATTCAACAAAACAATATTAAACGAGAACTTTCTGCATTTTTAAAACAAAAATTTTGATATAAGTGTTATAAACATAAACATAGTATAACCTAAAAGTCAGTTAACTAAAATTTATTTTAATATATGAAAAATATTCTACCATATCTGTGATTCAGCCACACGTTATTAATCATATATTGAAATTAAGAACATTGGCTGTTCAAAACCTGTTTTAAATGTTCTGAAAATAATCTTTATATGTATATAAATTTAAACTGGTCTACTCTATTTAGATTTTTTTTATAAGTAAATTTCATAATTATGTGAATAATTCAAAATAATCACTTATAATTTACATACAGCAGGAAAATTTATAAACTATCTTATACTAAACAAATAGTCTTATTTAATAATAGAGAAATTTTAAAGAGCTTACCTTGGAAATGCTAAGTCCAATGGATAATTTAAATCCTATTAAAAAATAATATATATTCAGTTTAATAAATGACTTTTGAAGGACAAAATACATCATGGAATCTTTGATTTAAAAAGAATAATAATTAATCAGTCTCAATTACATTAATTTTACAATTAATTTGAAAAAACAAAAAGAAATAAATAAGCCATTAAAAAACATGTTCATTTTTTTTGCTTAAACTCAATACTACTTTATATAATAAACTTATCAAGTTTTTATTGCATCTGGCAGAATTATCTTTATTTTATAGAAGTTTTTTTAGAATATTTTTTCTATATATCTTATTTTGAATTTTGGCACATAAAATGCCAAAAAAAGAATATTAAAAAATAATAATAAAACATTTAAAATATAAATACAGTAGAGTGTCGTTTATCCGAATCAATTGGGGACTGGGGTTGTTCGGATAACCAATTATGTATGAAAAAATATATTAATTTATCCAGTGTTGAAATTTTTCTCCGTTGTGTGTCGCTTCACGTTGAATTTTCATCGATGTTAAGCCTAACGAAGACTATNTATAGTATTAATGCCAATTTATTAATATTTTGGTAATTTCTGTTTGAATACAACCCAAAATATTAACAGTGTGGCATGATGTGTAGATTTGAGTAACTTATAACCTATATAAGTTTCTATAATATTGAGTCTAGGAAAGTATATATGGAAAATAATTTGTAGACTCCTTAGAATACAGGTAATTACATATATAAACACCTCTAACTTGTAAGTCCGATATTTACATTAAAGCCAAATGATTGCCAGATTAAATCAGGATATATTACTACTAATTACTGCTGCTGTTAATAATTAAATACTGAATAATTTGACATAGAGGTATGTGTTAGGCACAATCTCTTATTAAATTTAATAATTATCATTAAAGTAATATGTATTAAATAATTTAGAAAATTCTGGAAGAAAAGAATCAGCCCAGAGTGGGACTCGAACCTGCAACTGCTGCTTACCATGAAGATGCATTGCCAGTTACACTATCTGGACCTCTGTGTAACTCCTTAACATGCCTGTAACTGTAAGCAGCAGTTGCAGGTTCCAGTCCCATTCTGGGCCAATTCTTTTCTTCCAGAATTTTCTAAATTATTTAATACATATTACTTTAATGATAATTATTAAATTTAATAAGAGATGGTGCCTAACACATACCTCTATGTCAAATTATTCAGTATTTAATTATTAACAGCAGCAGTAATTAGTAGTAATATATCCTGATTTAATCTGGCAATCATTTGGCTTTAATGTAAATATCGGACTTACAAGTTAGAGATGTTTATATATGTAATTACCTGTATTCTAAGGAGTCTACAAATTATTTTCCATATATACTTTCCTAGACTCAATATTATAGAAACTTATATAGGTTATAAGTTACTCAAATCTACACATCATGCCACACTGTTAATATTTTGGGTTGTATTCAAACAGAAATTACCAAAATATTAATAAATTGGCATTAATACTATAAATTTCAGCTTTCTTGAACTTTATTTTTCTGTAGATAAAGAATCTCATCTTTATTCAACAGTGTTTCTCATTGATGAATAGGAAATATAAATATAGACTTGGATGCATTAAAAGAAATTTAGCATCTCTACCAAGATGCTGTACATTTGATTTGAATCTTAATATCTTTCAAAACACAAATCAATGTCCACAGCAATTAGACCCATACAAAATTCATTATTTACAATGCAATTTTCCCAAGAATTAAGAATGTAGTTCACTTCTTTAAACTTGAAACAAATGTTTCAATATAGTTTTCCATTTTTCTCTCATAATGCACATTTATATAATATCTATCTTTTCCCCAATTTAAGTATTGAGTAATGCCATAAATGCAATAGACATTAGTATATATACCTTACATATATTGTACTTTATTTCTTAAGCATTTAATGTTAAATGTATGAAGTCAAGAGTATATTAACTACTGTATGTAAAACAGGAGTCCTCAAACTTTTTCAACTGTCAATTCCTCTGAGGATTACTTGACCTGTTCTTGAAACCTCCTTTTTTGCTATTACAGTTAATAATTTATTTGATGAGCTAGTAATAATCCACACCATTTTCATAGAAAAGATCTACTTACAGCATGCAAATTTACATCATCCTAAACTCTCATATACACAGCCTATTGGACTAATAATTTTTAATGAACTGTTTCCAATTGATCATGTACTAATTTTTGATCACCATGGGTTTGTACACATCACAGTGAGAATTCCTGATCTAAAGTGTGTTCTCTAACCTCATAAAATAGATTTTTTATAATTGTTATTTAATTTATTTGTAATGCAACAGGTACAAGGGGCAGCCAGAAAATAAAAAGTTTGGCTATAAAAAAGAAAAGAACAGTAATGATAGGAAAAATTTTTATTAAATAATTAGAACAAGACCCGTTACATTTCTACATAGTCACCATTTTGATTAAAGCACTTGTCATAGCATACACTAGAGTTTTTGGATTTCTTTGGCATAGACTTCCACTGATGGTTTTTTCAGCTAGTTAGTAACAGCTTCATTCATCTCGTCATTCATTCCAAATCCATCAAAAACTCTTTCAGCTTGGGAAAGAAGTGAAAGTCACTGGGAGTTAGGTTAGGTTTGTATGTTGGGCGGTCAAAAATATCCTAGCCAAATTTCTGAGGCACAGCTTGAATGGCTGTAGTAGAGTGTAGTCATGAATTATCTTTCTTGATTAAACATTATTTTCTCACACTTGCTTCATTTATAATGTGATCACCATATACTTCCATAATTTGTTTATGAATTTCTACAGGACAAACTTTCTGTGTATTTAGAAAACGAACAAAACTTTGCATTTGGCAGGATTTTTGTACAGATTTTAACCCTTGACAAAACAGGACAATAAGCCTACTGTTATCAAAACTGTATACATGCTATGCTAACACATTAGACAAACTGATCTTGAATCAATGGTGATAATTTATCTGTGCAGATTGCTATGCACAAATGTTCTTCATTATATGAACATCTGTCATATAATCGTAACCTAATGAATAATACAAGATCTATCACTCTCCACAAACCTCTTATGCAATCCATTTCACTTCAAACTTGATAAATAGTAACTGTATTATCATACAATGATTTAAATGGTTTTGTATTATTTAAAATTTTTTTGTTTCTTTCGTTACTTTAGCAAGTGGAAAAGAATAGTTTAAAACAGTGTTTCTTAACAGGGGGCTGCGGGCCCTTGGAGGTCTGTAAGAAGTTTGCCGGGTGCCTCCAAATTATGCAAAATTTCCTTCAGAATAATAATAAAAAGAAAATTGATGTATAACTGAGTATCGTACTGAGAAGTAAAATAAGAAAGATAACGTTTTCTTATTTAGTTTTTTTTTTATTTATTTCTTATTTTTTCCTACATACAACTTTGTTAGTATAGAAGAAATAAATGCAAATATGCTACTTACACTGCAGTATTTACTTTTTTTATTCCAAAGTAATTCTAAGAAACTATTAATGCTTAAAATTTTAAAAATAATTAAGAAAAATAGTAGGCTTAGTAGTAGGCTTTGAAAATTTAAATGTTTTTGCAAAAGATATGCAAAATCTTTACAAGTTGAGGATGTTTTAGTTTTAGTTTAGTTTTAGCATCGACTTTGGATCAAGTAATAGTGCATTTCTTTCTTATATTGTGTTTAGTTTTAATTATTTATAATTAACCCATAAAAATGAACAAAAACCAGGAAGGAACATTAGAAAACTTTTTAATGTAAATAATTGCGGACCAGGACCTTCAAGAAGAAATTATAGTGAAGAAAATACTAGTGAAAGTTCCGATGATGATACAGTGAAAAATGCAACAGAAAAAACCACAAGTCCTAAAACTGAAGGTATAAAATTAAGTAACATTAAAATTAGAAAATACGATGGTGATTATATCAAATATGGGTTCATAAGCATAGAAGTTTAAGGAATTACAAAACCACAATGCGTCATATGTGATGTAGTTCTCTCCAATGAAACAATGAAACCAAATAAATTGTTGAGGCATTTAAATTCTAAGCACTAACAATATAAAAATAAAATGTATGATTTTTTTAGAAGGAAAATTAAAAAATCAAAAGACACTCATAAATGTCACAACTACTAAAAATAAAGAATTATTAAAAGCTTCATTTATTGCAGCTCTTCACGTTGCTAAAGCAAAATAACCATTTACAATAGCCGAAGAATTATTAAAACCTGCTATGTTTAACATTTGTAAGGGTTCTCAACTATAATGGATATAAAAACATGCCTACATGCAGATAGCATTACAAATACAAACAACTGAACCAAGAATTAACAAATTAGTTGAGGATATTCAGCAACAGGAATCTCATTAAATTATTTTCGAATATTTTTTGTTTTTTCTATAAATTTTTCTTATTTTATTTTTTGTTAAAAATTAATGCGTTTTTATGTTTAATTGTGAAGTTTGAATGTTATTTAAATAGATAATGAAATAATAAAGTTACATTTTACATTTATTATATAAAAAAATAAGGCAATAATAAATAAAATCAATTTATTATAGATAATTTAACAAATATAAATTATTATTAAAAAAATGGGGGATCACAAAAAAAATTTGAAATATTTGGTGGGCTGCGAGTATAAAAAGGTTAAGAACCACTGGTTTAGAATATAACTGATGGTGAATTCATCAATATCAAATTTAACCTAACCGATCCTATTGACCTAGTGATGTCTGTTAAGTCTGATAACTTACAGTCGACCCCCTATAACACTGTTGATAATTCCTTTTTTTATGAATTCCATGTTGTACAAGTCACTTAGATTTTACAAATACGTGAGTCGTTCACAGTCCAGCACATGTATTTGTAAAATCTAAGTGACTTGTACAACATGGAATTCATATAAAATGGAATTATCAACAGTGTTATAGGAGAATTGACTATTTGGCATTGTTAAAATGATGTGTTACAATTTAATAGACCTAACA